TTTAATGGTGTGGCAAGTGATGCTAGATTACTTAATTATAGATTTTAGATTGGCTTATTAGTATAGATTATCGTACATTTAAGTAGACACATATGGGATCAAAAAGTAAACAAACGTCTTACATGTCTTCTGCTTTTAATAATTATTTTAGTGAAAAGTCGCGATTCTCAATACCTTATTGGATGTTCGAAAGCACTGTCGAGTCAAATTATCTAAAGCATGACTACCTGGTAACAACACTAAGAGTATTAATTGAGAGGCATTTGAAGATGTATTCTTGAGCACTTCGCTAACGCTGATCACTCCATTGAGCGTTTTTTTAATAAGGTTTGTTTGAAGTATAATTAGTCACTGCAGTTGCAACTAGCTTATTAGATACTTTAGGACTTATAATCAATGTTACCAGTTATTGTTTTACTGTGCTCTTTGTTAATTCAACTGAGGTGACTTGGACATCTGTTATGTATACCTAACCACCGGTTGCCTTTTGATGCACAGAAAAATTGAAAGAAACCTAGGGGCAGCGTGGAAGAGATCAATAATGTCATTAACAAGTGGAATCAGTCATGCTGGCAGTTGTGAAGTACCTGGCCTTGTCGGGGAGACGATAGTCCTTGATGTTTAGATACTTCGAATGATACGGCCAGAAATCTGTTGTAATGGCACAGGTGCATCCATTATTTATCTTCTTTCATGACATTCTAATTTCTGTATTTTTACTCTGAATTATATTTCTTGAATAATATCTTCAAACCTCAATCTTCTCTATTATTGCTGATACTACCCATACTCCCGTGGATTCGAATCGACAACCCTATCTCTGTAAAAGTGAGATTTATAAAACATAAAATGCAACAAACAACAAGACTTGATGGAGAAGCTTTGAATAATCTGAAATCCATGACATATCTGTTAGGAATCATTGACTAGGTAGATTGATCTGTTGCCGATATACAGGTGCGGAAAGACAAAGCAAGAGCTACATTTCTAAAATTGAACAACATCTGCAAATCCAAACAGTTGTCAAACAACGCCAGAGTAACAGTTTTCAATAAAAATGTCAGTATAAATGCACTGTATGTAGAAAAAACTTGAGGATATACCAAAGTTATCAGTCAGTTGATATGAGTATTATTTAAGAGTATTTTTCGCAAAAACCTTCGGACAGAAACCATCAGCAACAACCGTAGTTTGATAGAGAACAAACTAGATTCTATCGGAGTATATAGCAAGCATCTGTGGAAACTGATAGGACCCGCAATGTGGAAAACATCGAACCATCTCCACGAATTTTAAAAAATTTGCACAAATATTTATCGATTTTTCAGTTTGAAAATATCAATGATTAAATTGCTCCCATTGAGTCAAGGATATTACAATATTTAAAGCCTCCCGGTCACGTGTTTGTTTGTTTATTGCATCTTGTGTTGCATAGTAGAATCTCGCATTTGCCAATGTGTTTTCTGAGATCTGCTGCTGGAGCTGCTGCTGCTCTGTTTGTCTTCTCCTACATTTGTTGTTGCGTGTGCTAGATAATAGTCAGCTTATTTCTACAGTCCATGTCATCCGCTAGGTTATTTAGTCTGACATAAATTGATCACACTTAGTGTTGAAATAATAAACTGATTGCTGATCGCTCTGTCTGGACGAAATTAGTTGAAATTATAGAGTAAAAGATTAAAATAATCAATTTGAAAGATATGATGCAATCAAAATTGAAGAAATGCTTCAAACAAAGTATCAGTAAAGTGTCCAAGATGGGTTCCTGAGTAACCTCTTAACAATCATTATTATAATTCAGATTATTTTTATTACGCGTAATTTTGTCTTAGTTCATTGCAGTCAAAAATTGTTTGGAATCATCTCTGTTGTACTGAGGATTGAAACTTGCAACTGGTATTTTTTCAAATTAACTCTTTCTATTGTCCGTTTTCTGACAATTGAAGATAGGTAAGGTGTTTTCAGTGAACCGTCGTCATCTGCAACTAGATATTGATATGCAATAACCAAAGTGAACTGATTAGAAACAATATGAACATTGTGGATATAGAATGCATAGCTAATATTTCAACATCGTCCGAGAGTTTCTCGTCTACAAAGGATGAATTACAAATAGTAGAGTTAGATAGTCATTCGGCTATGAATAATTCTATTAAACTGAATGCGTTCTCTCCAATAAAATGACAATACTTCAGATACTTCAACAAACGTCTTTTAAACATTTGGGTCACTGGATTGATTAGTATGAGTGAAGTTTTCAACAAAACGTCTGTGAATTTCACTCAACTGTTATTACTATTGTATTCGCCAATATTATTGCTGGTATTATTGTCTTCGATTATTGTAATCAACACAGATAAAATATGTTCAACTGAGAATTGCTACTTGTTATTAACCGATAAAGCTTCTTATATTCACCGTTTCCAAACAACCAGTGATATCTGAACTTACGTAGGGCCTATCTATCTATCATGATGTTCAACTGAAAGATGATATAAAATAACCAGATTGAATAATAATGAAACGTTTGAACGTTCTTCACGTTGAATACAGAAAAAATATTTCATTAGCATACTGTGTAATTATATGAGTGGCACATTTTGTAATTTCAAAGTTCTCAAAAAATGAACATCGAATGTCTGTTAAAATAATTCCATCACAGTAGCAACTATATATGTTTGTAAATTATCCTATAATAAGATAGTTCATTTATGATATTTCTAATAATTCGATTGTTTGCATGCATCCATGCTTACCCGCTTATTATCTGTCTTGCCTATTTTTTCTCATTAATAATGCTCAGTCTTAGTTCAGCGCAGAACAGTTTGCTCACTCGCCTTCCCATATTGTGCGTTTTTTGTTCTCATCGCCTTCTGCCTCAATGTACGATAATCTCTGACGAAACTAATCGTATTTCTACTGCGAGTAAACAACAACGCAAAACGTTTTATGAATATGTGACTAGAATATTGCATCTATTAATCTATGGCGATAGGTAATCCAATCTATTATATAGCAGTAAGTAGTCAGGCTTTACTACGCAGAGCATTACAGTTAAACTTACTGACAAGTGTCAAGTGATCAGAAACCTGGTATCACGTTTCCTTGTTAGCTAACTAACATCATCACCACACACAAATTAGAACAAGATCTGAAGATAAGGACCATCATATAACTAAATGCACAAAGTAATAAGGAGCGACAAACATTCCTAAAGTTTGCTTGATATTTGATCTAATATCTACACTATCTCATTTGACATATAAGCTTGACAAAATGATAAGGTAGTTCATCGTTGTTTACGTGTTCATCGATTACATTTACAGTTGAATTACAGAATCAGTTGCCATTCGCAGATTTTTTTCATCGTACCTTGATTCAAAGTTCAGTAATCACTGGTCGATCAATATGTGCTGTGAAGTAAATAGTGTATAAGTTTATAAATTTTGATGATTGTGTGGAATAGTAGTAACTGAACGTTGAGGAATAGTGATGTCAGTTAATAAATTTTCACAAAATGTTATTGCTAGTGCTTTATATTTTGTTATTCGACTGACTTCATTATCGCTCTAGTTTTGCAAGAACAATAAACTG